TTTATTCAATTTTAAGCATTTGTTAATTTTTAAACATTTTTTTATTACAAAAATAATTGATATTTCTTCAATAGCTTCCTGGTTATATGACCTACTGACTCCAAATCTATGTCAAATTGTGCTACTACTTTAGCCAGATGGGGCACACACATTTTTATTCCATTTCAAGCCTTTGTATATTTTTGCCTTACCAAGCACAGTATACAATACACTACCGAGGCACAGAGGAAATCCTCTAAAATACATTTTACTTTTTCAGACATAAAAGGTTTTTCTGATCATATCTAAGATTTTAAATGTGATTCTATTGACTGTAAAAGATTCAAATCATTCTTAAAATGAGATAAAGGGCAGATTTTGGCTTACAATGGGTTAAATTATTCTTTTGAAAATCACACACTTGGAAAAAAAACTGTTTGATGAGCATAAGTATAGCATATTTATAAAAGCGCTGAAATTGACCTATATGATATTAAAGTGAAAATAATTATTTCTTAAAATATTAAACAAAAAATATAAACAATGATCAGAATAAAACAAAATTGAACTACGACTTAATTGAAAATGAATAAGTTAACTAAAGAAATCCTACTGTACTTTAATGGTTATCATAGGCATATGCCTACATAAAGTCTCTGCTATATGGATATATGCTTATACAGCTACCTGCCTGTACGTGTCATAGTTGTACCTTTACAATTAAATACCGTTTGAACTGTCAGAATGGGATTATTCCTAACATTTCAAGTTAAAGAAAATAATTTTGGTTAAAGAAAAAATTTAATTGTATGACCATTTATAATGTTTAAAAAAATATGATATGAGGCTGTTGAACAATTTTCATTCAACTGTGCATGTGCTTAAAAAATCACTTGGCTAAAGAAAAGATAGTTACATTAAATAACCACATGAGGTCACTGTGTTATATTAATAGACCAATATTATCTTACAAAAGCTTATTCAAGCTTATAAAGATTACTTTTATTTATGCATTTTTTTACAATCTAATGATTGTTATTAGGGGTCCAAATGTTAAGATACCTCTAAGTTACACATCTAAACTTGTTGAATTGTCTTTTAATTTCATGGCAGTTAACTCAAAAGCAAAATGTTCGTTTACCGTTAAATCCACCTTTTTTACTTGATCATGTCCCTAAGAAGCTTGCAATTTCAAGCATTATCAGTTTAGATTTTTGGATAAAGCTGTCAAAGCCTCTTTAAAATCACAACAGCTGATGATCAGTGTTAGCACAGTGGAGTGCAATGGAGTTGATGCAATTTAAAATCAACTGAGCCAGTCTCTAATGCCCACCTGTATTTTGCCTGTTTCAATTTCTGATGAATCATGATCCTAGAACATCACTTGCACATGCCATTGTGCACCTAAACATGTGTAGCTGTGTTCTTTTACAGGACTTTGGCATGCCTGAACACATATGCAGATAATATTGTGTGCTCATTTTCCAGCAATGACCGTCCATGGTCCCAAAACACCACACAAAGTCTTGCAACACACACATACAGACATTCCAGTGGCTGTATGTTGTTTCCTCGGAACTACCACCACACTCTTACACACAAACACGCATACCACTGGACACACTGTTAGGGTCACCCAAAGGGCAGCATCCCAATGGAGTGGTTTTATGACAGCAGGGCAATGGGGGGAGTAAAACTATGTAATGTGAAAAGAAAAAAAAGGTCTTGCATGAGTGACTTAAAACATTGCCATGGGGCTTTAAGGTTTTAAATGCCTTTCCCCCCTCTGAGCAGTAAATTTCAAAATAGGTTTCTTATTACCTTTAAGTTTAAATTACTTTCCAGGTCTTGTACTTTGAATAAAGAGCTCAGCAGTATTCAGTATTCAAAGTGCAAAACACTCAGCTGAGCCTCCCAGGAACATGCTGAGGTGTCGTAATGTTAGCTGTGAGGGTAACTAGTGTAGCTACTTATGACAGGGAGGGTGAAAGCACGAGGATGGTGGGTGGTGTGAATTATCAGCTATCTACTAAAGTGCCATTGATCAGCAGGAGCAAAAAGGGGATATTTGAGAGTATCCCAGTAGATATTTAGCTTGAATTAATGCTTGAAGTAGTATGAGTGACTGGAATGTTTTCATACACTGTCACTTTTTTTTAAGGTGCTATAATGCATAAATTCAGTCTAAAGAATTGGCAATCTAAGCCATTCCGAAACCCTTTAAATAAAACAGCTGGCTGTTGACTTTTCATAGTGGAATTCAGTGTACAGACCTGGAAAAGATATCAGCCATCTCTTTTACTGACAAGTTTCTGTTTGCTTTTTTTTATTCACAGGCCAGAAACCTGTTAAATTTTAAACTCATCAGGTACACCTTTCTCATAAAGGGGTATATTTCCTATTGCATTAAGAGCTGCCTTATTTTTTCATGGCATGGCTTTTGTAAGTATTAGAAACGTTCCTCAGAAATTTATGCAGGTCCAGATTCCTCAGCTCTACAACACAGAAGGAATTCCACATTTAGTTATGTTAAAGCATTGTAACAAGTAGTCTTGAATTAATCCTTTTTGTAAAAATTCCACACTCTTTGTTCATTGATTGAACATCCATTTGTAAATATTCTATCCCAGCCTATAATTTTAAACAAGCTTGTCTGGACTAGAATCTCATAACAGTGAAGGCCATGGACTACAGCAAATTAATTGTCTGCTTCTAAACGTTTATTAGACAGAATTTGAGCTTATTGACATATGCTAGGGAAGGCCATGGTGTTTTAAGTACTAAAAGGGACCTTAAGTGTAGTTAAAGTTACCACACCACAATTCCAACACCTGCTGAAATTGTTTACACAAAGAAAGATAGAGCTTACATGTTTACCAAAATATCGCTTTCTCAATGTGCTAGCAGAACTTGAGACTTTGGGCCGTTCAACAGTTTTTCAGCCTCTTATTTTCTCATTTTGGTAAGCAGTTAAGGTAGCCTCAGTTCCTACAAACATGACAGTGATTATTGTATTCTGTTATAACTTCAGACATTCTGCGATTACATATTTTTGTATCTTGGATTGGAAGAAGTGGTTATTATAAAAACGGATGCCTATGTATGATCAATAAATAAATCTGGCCACTCTCTCTAATACCTCTAACATTAACAGGAAATGTTCTGTCTAAGTGCTGATCATTAGATTTTTTTACTTTTTTTCTGAGAAATCTCTGTGAACCAGTGACACGATTTGCTAGAAAATTAGAGCGAGTCATCAGTTTTAGGAACTGCTTAAATCGGTCCATTGAACACCAACAATCATGCCACATTGAAAGTCACTTAAATCAATTTTCTTCTCCTTCATGCATGGTGGGGAATTAGGAAAGTGGTCTTCAACAATTCTAGATGCCTGAATTCATTGTGCTGCTTCCAAGTGATGTTCCTGACTTTCTGTTGCTGCTAAAAAGTTGACTAAGTCGTGACTCAAATAGGAAGTTTAGTGTTTTTTTTAAGTGTGCTGCAGACTTCATTACTTCAGCCCATAGTTACTCATAGACCAGGCCCATTTAGGTTTCAGGTAATAAGTGAACTATACTAATAACTTTCAACTTAATCTACCATTAAGATGTGTGTCATTTTTTCAAACATGAGTCTTGTTTCCTGTGAAAAACAAGCTTCTTTTATGAAAATGTTTTATTTTTACTTGATTCAGCGTGCCAGTCAAAACTCATCTAAAATACATTTTGTTGAATGCTTGCTAGAAATATTTCCCTACAGTATCTAAAGAACTTAATCTTTAATTTCTAGATAAATACTTCCAATTTCAAAAGGTATAATATGGTTTAATCATAAAGTTCTCTAAAATTCTATAAAACTTTTCTTTCATTTGATTTTGATTTCATAATTCTTTTTAAATAATTATGAAATGCTTATAGCAGAGGACAGCTAAAAGCTCTTTGAATGGGTAGCCTGTTTGGTTATTTTTTAGAATTTACAACTTGTCACTAAACATTTTTAAATGTAAGAGAAACAGCATTAATATACATTTTCCCCCAACAGTTATAAATTGTTTACTTATATATGCATAGATAAGAGATGCCAAATGGCTGCTGGATAGAAAAATCTGCCTGATCAACTCACTGTAATCTTCCACAACAGATAATATAACTATTACTAAGACTTGGTATACTCTTGAGACTTCACCTGAAAAAATCTGAACAATTAATTTAAAGCTTGCCCTAGAAAACAAAGAAACCCAAAATAACCACATTACACAAGTCACATAAAGACTTGGTCCATTATTTGATGATTTATTTTAAAATAAAAAAAAAGGTTCCTCAATAAGTTTTTTGTTGTTATAAAGTATTTAATTACAGGCAACTGAGGTATATCTGTTGTCCTACAATTGAGAAAAGAAGGAAAAGATTGCAAGAAAAATTGATAAAGAAAGTAAAAGCTTAAACAAAAGTCACTGGGACAATAAGCTGAACATAGAAGAGGTTGTGTACAGTAATGGTGTGGATGATCGTACTGCATAATTAACTATCTATTTGATATATAAAAGCCAAAGTTTTCCACATTCATGGACTAAAAATCACAGATTCAGTTACATTTGAACAAAAAAGACAAAACTATTAAAACTGGAAAGATTAAACCCACTGACCATACAATCCACAGATAAATTTAGGTAAAACATTTATATGTTAATTTCCACAAGTGGAATATGTTTTAATTTTTACATAGGTTTAAAAAGAGGTTATTATTTATTTGACCATCAGGCTAATGTAGAGCTTAAAGGTTTTCAAATCAGCTTAAAATCATACATAGCAATATCAGCTGTATGACCTGCTTGATGTTTTTGAGTTTTGTGCAGCCTCATTTCAGTGGAGCAGCAAAGCATATTTTCCCCCATTAAAAGAGAGTCAAAGACATTACCAGATATATTACCAATATTAAGTAAACCAACAGCCAGCTAATATCAAGGTATGAGAGCTGTCTAGTTTGTTTTTACTTTTTAAGAGGAAAGAAAAGAAGCATTGTAAAAAGTTAAACTATTTTTTAATACATATATATATATTTATATATTCAGATTCTTTGTTCTCATTAATGCACACTTGTGGTTTAACAATCATAAGGCATACCAATTAGCTTGGCCAACAGCAGGCAGTGATAATTTGACATACAAAGCATATTAAACAACATTCACAGAAAATATGGAGGCTCGGGACAGTTTATGTTAAAGGTCTGGAATATTTAGATTGTCATCTCAGTTATTTATGGCCATTTAAAGAAACAAATCAACAAAATGTAATTTTGGTTAATCCTCACATTAATAAAAAGCGGACCCAGGGGAAAAAATCTATCAACATAAAGACTAAAACTTTTTAATATTGGATCCCGAATAATAATTATTTTTTCACAGGACAAAATATCTTCTGATTATGTGACCATTTATTTAATCAAACTAAAACAAAACAGTCCATGGTGACATAATTAAGAGAATATCTGCTTGGAGACTAGACAAAGGGTGAAAACAGCAGAGGATAATGAGAGTTCCAGCAAAGTCCCACATACAATACAGTGGTTCGGCCCTGTTGCATGTATGCGAGTGAGTAGGCGGCGCATTAATGTGTGAGTGGGTTGAACACATTTTTCTGTCCACCACTCGATTGCCTACTACTTGTAAAGCATTTTAACTGAAACACACTCACATTTGCGCCCACAAAAAAACAATGGCAGGCTCAAGTGATAAGCATTTGAGAAAGAAAGAAAAACAGGGCTTGATTGTACCTGGTGAACAGAAGATTAAAGAGCTGACTTATTGGACTACAGTATTAACGTTTAATAGATATGGGTTTGAGTTTGTCCGGCTCGTGAGGGGTAACATCTACTGCTTGGTTGAAGTGCATACTGCAGTGTTGAACAGCCATGGTCCATTCGGTAAAAGCGGCTTCCGCCTCCCTCTAGCCCTCTATGAGGTATCCAGCATTTAGAGGGAAGAGGTACTGTACGGGTAGAAACAGGGAACAGAAAAATCCCTCCCAGAAGTCTTTAAATCACCATACACGACAAATGTTGTCAGGGACCATATAGCTGCTTTTGTTGCAGTTGAATGCTTTGGCAAACTCTGGGAAATTCTGAAGGGATCCCAGTACTCTGAAATGAGAAATTGGAACGGTATTAGGAACTTAATGTACTATATTGTAGAGTTACTGCATTCCAAATCTTATTTTAAATGAGGAAACATAACGGCTGATTTTATTACCTGAATTTTCCTGGACTGTGTACATCTACTTTAATGGAATTAACAGCTTGCTCTGGTCGATGTGTTCCACACCACACCTAGAAGAGATATACAGGATGTAATGCTCATGAAAAAATCTATTCATTTCCAAATAAAGATTTTTATATCTTATCCTGACTTTTAATATACACAAATTTAGACAAGCAGAAATTTTCAAAACTATCAAAACTTCATCTGGAAAACATTAATAAAACACATTTGTTTTCTAAGAACTCTTACAGTAGTTTTGTCCATAAAACAATCAATTTCCATTTTTTTTCACTTTCTAAATGTACTAAAATTAAGGGATATATTGATTTCTACTACAATGCCTAATGTGTTATCATTCATGAAATAAAAATAGAGGATAAAAAAACAGTCATCAAATAACTACTGGTGGGATAAAATTACATTAAAGGGCAATATACACTGTGCCAGTAAAAATGACAATTTTCTCTGGTCTGAATGATTACCTGAGCAAAATTAAGGAAAAAGAGCTGATCGTGTGAAAGGTCAATCCCAGGCAGTGGTGGCTCTTCTCCATTGTGCTTCACAAAGTTCTTGTATGCCTTTAATAAAAACAAAATGAAATATATTTTTAGGCATATTAAAAATAACATTTTAATATTATTTTACATATAAATGCACCTGTCTGTTGTTGTGAAAAGAGAGCCGAGTTAAAAACTCTCAATTTAACGGTCAGTCTATGTTCCTATCCTCACCTATGTTCTTCACCTCTGGATCATGACCAAAAGAAGGAGATTCCGGATTCAAGCGGCTGAGATGAGCTTTATATTGCAGCAATCTGCAGTCTGACTATTGCTGAAAATCATTAGATAATGGTCTTATGCTAATTTATCACTTCATCTCTAATTCTGCTGTATTTATCTTGAACTGGTTTATAAGCAAAACTTACCAGTATTAGTCTTTGTGGCTTACTAGAGCTTGTCACATTCATCTTTATAGATTGTTTTGTTTTACTTACAACCAAAAAGATAAATTTAACTTCTTATTAAATGAAATGTAAATCATGTTTGGAGTCACCATTTGTTCACAGACAAAAAAATTGGGTCTAATGCTTTCAGATTGTTTAATATCCCTCTGTTAACTCAGAGTCAAAGAGCCAACATGCACAATGTAAACCTCATACAAGGTATGAAAAAGTCAACAACCCGGAAAGCAGACATCATACATCAGTGTTTGCAAATGAAATGATGTAGGCTAAAATATCTATAACCCCAAAAATGTTTAAGAGCATCTTTAAAGTACTTTACCTGGTACGCCTGTCGAATTCCTCCATTGTCGGCAATGTTCTCCCCAAGGGTGTTGTTACCATTCAGCTAAAAAGAAAATACAAGTGCAAAAGTAGAAAGAGAGATTGAAAGTTTTCCCTCCATTTTTTCAGTAAATTGCAGATAACACTTTCCAGGTTAAAGAAAATATTACCCACATAATAAAAAGAAGCACTGTTCAGAGGAGCAGTACAGAGGAGGAAGGATGAAAGGAGAAGAACTTGTATATCAACACAAAACAATAAAGAGACTTAAAGTAATGAGGAGGTGAAGCTGCAAAAGAGGAGGAAAGATTGAAAAATGCAGATGGATAAACTGGCATAGGTAAAAGGAATTCTGGCAAGATCGCTTAATGTGAGGCTTCTGAGAATTTTAGGTGGGAAAAAAATAGTAAAATAAAAAAATAAACGCAAGAGAAAAGAGGCAGTGATTGTGTGAACATACATGTAGTCCGTTAGCCAGGTCCCAGGAAAAGTTGCTGTATTGGTCAACTATGCACTTTGAAAGCTCTAAGAATCTGTGAGTGGAGTCAGGTGTCCACCAGTCCTTTAGGTCACCATCCTTATCATAGTTGCGACCTAAAAAAACAGATGTTTGGGAGTTATGGATGGGAAGTGTAAAAATGTATACTACAAAAATAATCACATCATGGATACTACAGGTATATAGTTTATTACTTTTATAAGTGACATATATTCATTATTGCATGAAATATTATGATATGTTCTACTATAAAACGGTGTTGCCCTAAATAAGACATGACTTTCTGTAGTTTTTCCTTTTTTGTACACTGAAATATTTCTAAACAGCCACATTTGCAGTTTCCAGTAAGCAGGAAAAAAATGTTGTTGTTGACAGGCAGTTTGCAGAAGCATGTGGGAAAGAGAAGTGCTGTGTTGATCTATGGTCCAAACAAGAGAAGAAATATCTGGTCACTAAAGCACTTTCTGTTTCATAAAAATGACTTTGAAAAAATGAAAATGAAAAATGAAATTGTAAAAAAAAACATATAACATGATACAATAATTGTTGTTGCAGTTTTTAAACTTCAAACCTTTTTATATCTGAAACGTAACAAATGTTTTAATTTGTTTCAATGAGATAATAACAAATAGAGGGTTGGTGGAAATGTGATATAAAATGAGAGTGACAATCAAATTTGAGAGAATGCAGAAAGAAAGAAAAAAATCGGGAGGGCAAACCCTTGATAGGGTGAAATAAAGCAGTTTTCTAAAATGGTATCAGTTACAGGGGGCAATGGATCTGTCATAAAGCTAATTTAATCCACCAAAACTGGAAGGGAGAACAGCTAAGTGAAAAATCATACCATTGTCATCAAAGCCATGGGTAATCTCATGACCAATTACCATGCCGATGCCACCGTAGTTAAGAGACTTAGCTTGGCCTTTGCTGAAGAAAGGTGGCTGAAGGATACCTGCAGGAAACACTAAAGACAGAGAAAATATTTTAGAGTTAAAATTATGTTAGGTTTTACCTTTTAAAGATGCAAAGGCTTGCCAGTGCTCATATGATACCTATTTGGTTTTTGCTAGACGAGTAGAAGGCGTTGACAACAGCGGCTCCAGTTACCCACCTTAAGAGAAATAAGGGGGATAAAATTAAATGATACCACTATAAAAGAGCGCAGAGGCAAGTCAGGAGAACTAGTTTTTAGAAACATTAAAATGTAGCTTTTAATACCAAGGTCATCGGAGGGAATCCTGCTGTTTAAAGCTGAACTCTATATTCGTGTAGGAGTTTGTGTGGGAGAAAGTGAATGCAGTGTACAAAGAATACAGTAAATGAGACAAACACTGTAGTAGATCAGTCAGCTGAGATCATAAATGAAGCCACTTTGAACAGGTGATTTAAATACTGAACGCTGCAGTTTTCATTTACAACACATCTGGAGTAAAGCTGTGAAATCCACCACCCCCACAAAAGGACGTCTTACTCCTCCTTGTTGACTTTGACTCGCAGTTTCCGCAGGCGTTTCTTCTGCACATACTCCAGATTCTGCAGGATGTTTTCAAAGTACTCCTCTGCACTGTAGCTCAGCTAACACCGACACACAGCCAGAAAAATCAGGAGGATTAGCAGTGATGAAAGCCATCAACACTTGGTGGCATATGCGCAAGAAAAAAATGACTAAAGCAAAAAAAATCCACTGTGATGTTTTTTGGAGGATAAAAAATGTGACTTGCCTAAAGCATATTCCGTTACAAGAATTCATTGACAGATGAATACCTCGCAGGAATTTTTCCAAACACTTACATCTTTGTACTCATTGTTTAGATATTTGTCATCCATTATGTTTTCAGAATAGCCAATGCGTTCACGAATAGCTCGAGCCTGGAGAAAAAGAGAGAAAAAATGAGACAAAAACACTTTTTATGAAGAAAACTACAATAGGATTCTTGGAGTTAAAGTTTGCACCTTTTCTTCAGCTGCTTTTTTGGTGTCTGCATCCATCCAGGCAAGGTCATCAAGGTTGCTGATGAAAACCTCACGAATATCTTTGATCATCTCCTCCATCTAAATTCCCAATGTACAATAATAAAAAACAAAAAAGTCTTAAAATGTCACTGATATATAAAAACGTTTCATCCCTGATATGTTAAAAACACTGACATGGAAAATATTTATCAGTCAACCTGTCATACTGATGTGTAAATGTTATTGCACCCAACTGTAGGAAATCATCTTATAGTATTAGTAAGGCTTTCATAATGTTATGGTCACATTATGGCATCAGTGACATTTTTAAGAAAATTAAGAATATTCTCCCCAAAGATGATTAAGATTAAACATTTTAATATAGACAATTACATTTCCTCTGAGTATATTGGATCAACTCCAAAAAGAAGGAAAGACAAGCGTAATTTGATATGATGTCATAGAAAACACATCAAATATCACCCTGACTTTTGAAATCATAACAAAATCATTTTGTTTCAAGAATAAGGTTGTTGTTTTTTTATTTGTCAGGTAAGAGGTTTAAATCTAAAAATGTCAAGGGTACTCAGTGTTCATCTGTGTCAACACAAACCATTTGTTGACATTTAAATGAAATAAGATGCTATGGCAGAATGCTCTGGAGTACCCAAATGCTGACACAAAGATAAGACTGCAGGTCCCTGAAAGTAAATGTAAAATGCCCCATTAAAGAATCTAATGTCCCATTATCTAATGAAACATTAAATAATTTAAGTAAAAATAAAATGAATAAAATAAAATGTAACAATAATTAAATGTCATGAAAAATATTCAAAAATAGTAGAGCTATTCTACTTTATTGTTATAAATAAATACTCAGTGAGGTATGAGGGGGTCTCTGGTCTGTTGCATTGTTATTTTTGGGGTCGCAGCCTGAAATGTTCAGTAACCCAGGTTCTAGGAGATGGGTCTTCAAACAGCACAACCCCAAACATTCTTTAAAACGCACTCATAAATAAATGGAAACAATTGAACAAAGTTCTCAGGTTTTCTGTAAAACTTTAAACTTTAAATGTGACAGACTTAAAGAAGTTTAGAAAATAAGGTGCAAAAATTCTAGTTGAGGGGTGAAAAAAGCTCCTTGGTGGTTACATAAAACAAGTGATTTCAGTTTGAGAGAACTTGTTTGGTTTTTGAAACAAATCTTGACTATTTTTGTTTGACTAATTGTTTGTTAGGAGGCATATTGAGCAAATCTTTGTTAAACTAAGTGTATAAAATGCTACCAAGGACCTGTAGGACTCAACTTGAGGACTATTTTGTGTTGATGAATTGATTCTGCATTTGTTCGACTGTAGTTGTAGCTTTAAATCTAAAATTACGTGACTAATCAACCCTAAAGTGGATAATTCTATACTAAAATTAGCTGTAGAAACAGTCATTTCTAAAGAGGACCTCAAAATCGCATCACTTATTTTTGATTCCTTTTTTTAAGCAGCTAAATAATGCTAATCAATACCTGAGTTGAGGGGGAATGAGGGAGGATGGCACCCACCTTCTTAAAAAAAATCTTAAAAATCATCCCCCTTCTTAAATGACCATTCCCCCATACCTGTTACATTTTATCACTGAATGTGTAAATTTCTATTATATATTAACTGTAATGGCAATAATATTGCCCTTTCAACATTTGACAGGCCGTGCACTAACAGGTATCCTGACCAAATTACAGTGGCCCAGAGGGCAAATGCGATTTTATTTTCGACCTCAGTGGCGCAACCAGCGGTGCAGGTGACGATGTTCTGAACAGCATCACGGCCAAGCGGCAAAGACAACGCAATTTGAGGGACTTAATTTTTAAGAAGGCAAGAACTAACGCTTCAGGTAAGCCGAGAGTCAGAAGACATTACCTTTTACAGTATAAGCTTACCATTGTGTCCCCAAATATGTAGAAGTCTTTATCTCTGGATAAGCGGTAGCATGCAAAACTAGGTAAAGTAGTTTGAAGCGCAAACATTTTTCTGTCTTTCTTTTGGTGAGTAAAATTATGAGATTTAATATAGGCTTATTTCATTTTCAGGCTCCATTTGTAAGCAGTTTTTTTCAGATTTTGAAAATAATTTCAGCTGTTTCAAATTAATTAATAAATTTAATGAAATTGAATTAAAGTTGACTTGAAAGGTTTCAGATATTCATTTGCAGTGTTTTGTGACGTTTTGTTCCAAATCTTAATAGGTTCCAAAAGATTTTCCAAAGTAAAATCAAAGAAGTGTCCTACCATGACTATGAAGCTGATCCCAGTGAGAAATTTGTCGCTAACTTTTTAGGGGCAGTGATAGCCATGCCAGTCCAGGGACTGACTGCAGTTCTACTGTAAGGTGCCTCTGTCTAGGCCAATGACTGGCGTATCTTACAGGTTACAACCATACCATGCATATTGCTTTAGGTTTATAGACTATATTAATTAGGCTATGTATGCTTCCGAAAAAAAAAAAAAATTCCACCATCACCATTCTTTTTCCCTCTTTTTTTAAAATCATGCATATATATATTTTATGATTTCACAGCTAAATAGACAAAATAAACAAATAGAAAATAGAAAAAGTTTAAATGTAAGTTAATTGATTGATTAATTGTTTATATCCCTGTTTAACCCGCATTGCAAATGTATGTGGGTGTTATAAGGACACAACAAAACCAGCATCAATAACTTTTTTTTTTTCCTGGAAGTTGTGCTGCAATTTTCTGGTGTAACCCTAACCATTTCCCAAAATGTTGGATACATCACTGCATGCAAAGAAAATGAACTCAGACCTACTCTGAGACCACAGCAAGAGAAAACCACGTCTTGTCACATCAGTAGACCCCTCGATTAGTCATTGCACAACCTCTTAAAAAAGTTGTGGTTTGCCTCAAACTGTGAGCCAGCACGCTCAGATGATTTTAGAAAAGCCTTTGGGAGATTCTATCCTGTAGAACGTGGATTGTGTGGATGCAAACAGTTTGTTTAAATTTCAAAATAAACATTGAAGTCAGCTTAAGTTTACTGTGGCAGTGCCTGAAAATCTATGCTAACCACTAAATCCCTTAATCACTATAGATTCGGGGACTATATAGTGGACTTTATAGTGAACTCAGTTAACTGACTGTTCGGACAGATGATCACTACTTTTTGCTCCCGCTTGGTCATGTGACTCTGCCTCCCCGCACAGTGCCTGAGCCATCTTTGTTATTAGTTGCCACTGGCAGGTAGCGACAACTTATGGTAACAGCGGGCTGCTATGACAACAAATCCCATAATGCTTTCTGAAGAGAGCTCTGCTCGCAAAGCATTCTGGGATATATCTGCTCACCTAGTGAGCATGGATGATCATTACTTTTAAAGGTGCATTTTGGGAAATTTCGAGTCCATTACCTTTTCATCCACTAGACATTCGGACACTCATTTAAAATGGCATAACCATGATTTAGTGCCCTATATAGGGAACTATATAGTGCTCTATATAGTATTTAGGGCGGACATATGGACACAGTATATGAGAGCTGAAGAAGAGTGGAGTGAATGTTCCTCAACAGCTGATTACTAGATACGTAAATGGGAATTTGCAAGCAGATGGTCCAGTGATGATTTGGGTAGGAACTATGACAAGATAGATAGCAGATCCCTCTGAGCTTTTCTCCTCTGCTAGAACGCCCAGTCAACTACTTCCAGCTAGAGAATGGAGGAAAAAAAAATAAACAAAATAACCCCCCAAAACCCTTAAACTACTGAGTCCTACATGTTCATTACTTCCCTTATGGAAATAATCAGTTGCTTTTTAAATGGATTTATCTACTCTGTCTGTAAAGTAATTAAATGTGTTTTACATATAAGAATTTAAAGTAGCATTCCACCAAGTACTACAAAATTTAAAATGTGCATAACTTTTGCTGATAAACATAAAGCTATTGGGAGTTTTGTGACATATAAAATATTTATTTGTATTAACGTAAATGTTTCAGCTCTGTCAACTCACTAACTAGCTGTATGCTGGCTCATGTATTTAAAGAAATGGGTAAGCCGATATGTAGCTAGATGTTCAAAGTAGCTGTGTGTTTATTCTCCCTTTACCAAACACACAAATTCAAACACACAGCCACACACGGTGGGGAAATGGGATCTGTTTGAGTTGGCAAACACCTTTATGGTATTTAAATCGCTCAAGAGTTACGATGGTGTCACTCATACATGAAACAGTGATGTGATAAAGCTCGTATATGCACACACACACATATACAAAGGCACACTGTGTAGATTTACAGTGTAGGTGGTGTCAGGATGATAACAAGGACACCTTGTTCAACTGCTTTCATGAGGATGTAAGGAAACAAGAATGCACTGATTCAGACACAAGACGGGTGACAAAATTGCAGATGTCTGTTAAAAAAACTAATTTATATATGAATACAATAGTTCAGATTGTCACTGTAAAAGAAAGAGCTATTCTTATCTGATAATGGAAGGTCCAATTCAGGCTCTACTTACCAACTCTTTGCTCTTTTCAGAGAAAGCCTCCTGCACATAGAGCCGTCCCACAGCATTGTCCATGTTGTTGTTGACATACAGCGCACACTGTCGCCACACAGCCACCTCTGATGTTGTACCAGACAGAGCCTATTGGGAAAGTAATGAGACTTAGAACAATTGTAAATAATAGAAGAAAGTAAAACAAGAAAGAAATGATTAGGTTATGGGTGACAGCTCTGAAGAATTTGTCAAAGTGTGAGTATGGTGTCTTAAAGAATATTCATATGCTACAGGGGTTAAGCTCGTGATCCATGTACGGGGGCCTTTGATTACCGACCGGCCTTCCCCATGCCTCTCCTTCAACCCTATTCCTTTGTGCATACTTCCAAAAAATAATACAAATAATAGCCACTAGTTCCTAAAATAATTATATCCACTGAACTCTCTTTTTTTCATTGTTCAACTCCAAGCTTTAATATCTTTCAAAATGATTATATGTGACTATAAAGAAACACAAAGTAGTGAATAACTGAAGTGGTTAGAAATGATTATTGAATTGTTCTTTAGCATGCAATCAAACTTTCCTGCTCATAATGCAATATGGTTTAAGTGAGTTGAAAGTAGTCTTTGTCAAACCCCTGGTTCCAATTGTTCCACTGCAGCTGTAGCAGTATCTTTGTGGCAGCATTCCCATGTCTAAAAAAATGAATGAGTGTTCTGCCACCTTCAGATGTGTTTCTCACCCTTTACACTTGAATTTATTTGTGTGCCTCACTAGCATGAAATCAAGCACACACTCAAGTGTGATAATTAGCTAATATTTGTGTCAACTCCCCAAACTGTGGTCTTTAAAGGTTTTGTATTTAGTCTAATTCATTTTTCAATTAACTTTGAACCCCCAAAGCCTTTCCCCCATTCCTTACTGAAGGATCAATGCCAGCATTAACAGCTCAATGCTGACACTATCTCACCATTTCCACTGTGACAATCCATGTTGTTTCTTTGGAAGTGTTTCTCAACATCTGGCCACAGCAGACATTTATGAGTAATCCTGCTAAATCCAGATTTGTGGAGCTCATGACTAATAGCAGTCCAGTGAATAGATTATTCCCCGTAAGCCAATTGATTTTTGGAATACCCACAGAGTTAACATGTTTTTTTGTTTGTTTGTTTGTTTGTTTGTTTGTTTGTTTTTTGCAGCTTATTTAAATATTGTTAAACATAATCAGATGGCTTATGAATACTACCATTACCTCTGGATATATTTGAAGGTATTTTAAAGTGTCTAAATGCTAAATGTATGTTAAAACTTTTAAGGGTCAAGTAGCATTTTCTTACAGCTGACCATTTTGTGGTAGTCTGCTACATAAAAACCCTGTTGGAGTACTTTTTAATGGTCATTAAAACATATTTACAATAAAAAAACTGAGAAACTACAGAGACAGTCTGTTCTAAATGTTACAATGAGAAGCTGTTGATGGGTTTTGACAAAGGTAAAAGTGATATAATTAGTGTTGCACCGATACCGATACTGCACATAAAATGGTGGTATCAGCGAGTACCGACAAATAGGGCACTGATACCATTTTGAGAGCCAAAAGTTTATTCAACTATTGTCACCCATTCCAGGTAGGCAATAAAAAGTTCTACTGGATTCACTTTGTATTAGTATTTCTCCTACTTCACAAAGGTAGGCAGCAACTTGACAAAGCCATGATGGCAATTATTTTACATCCAAGTAGTGTGCATTTCTTCATATACACACACACACACATATCACTTTCAAACAGATGGTATTGAGTATCGCTATCGGCGCCAAAAAATGGCAACAATGCAACACTAGATACAATGCTAAACTATCATGAGCATTTCAATTAAACTGCACCACCTTAAATAAAGGATTTAATATAAGAGAACATCAAAGAGCTTTATTCATACAACCTTAATAAAAAAGTCAAATGTCTAAAAAAAATATGTTTGACATAAAAAGGCTGACTTATGTTAAAACTGACATTACAGCATTCTGTTATTTTCAACAAAATAAATACCCTTTTGTTGCTCATATTTATAGGTCATTTTCCTAAACTACAATGACTCCCATTCTAATTTTCATTTTTTAATATTGATATAGATACATAACAAAACTTCTTTCTTACTTAAAATGCCAGGGTTATGGCTACATACCTTGCGGAAAGCTTTTCTGGTGTCTCTGTAAGATCGGCTCAGCCCCACCACCATGTTCATAGCAAACCGCCACACCATGTAGTTTTGCAGATCCCTTCAACAGAAAACACCCCAAGGTCAAGATAACAGACATGAGCATGCAAATATGAAATAACAGTGTGTGTCAAACACTGCATCTCTGGACTCCCACCTCAATACAAACACACACAGTAAGTAATACCTCTGGAAAAAAAACAATAGCTAATCCTTATTTTTTAAAACCCCACCTTTTGGTGTATTTGGCTAATACAAAGTTGAGTCTTCTGTAATAGTTGGGGGAATAGTTGATGATTTTCTCTGACTCTGGAATGCTGATATTGACTGTATCCATTATCTTAGCAGTGAAGTAACTCCAATTGAATACCTTCAGGTTGAGTCAAAACACATACAGAAAAGTTACAAGGATATGTAATAAAAAGTTGAAATAATAGAAATTCTAACAAATATTTTAGTTTTACCTGTGATTCAATCTCAAGTGTGAAGTTGCTGTTCAGCTCCCCCAATTCCATCTTGTTATAAAGTAATACAGGGTTGTTCCGATCCTCTGGTGTGTCAGTGGCCTGGGAACAAAAAGAAAAAAAAAAAAGCTAAGGGGACAGGATAGAATTAAAAAAAACAACTAAATTCTGTAGTTTCCTAACGTGACTACAGTTTCAATACACCCCCAGCAGCATCAAGTATGTTTAACAGCCCAGGAGGCTTCAGGTCTGTAAATGTCAAAGCTTGAATTGTTTAACTGCCTCGTAATAGCAACCAGCAGAGTGGGGAGGAAGCAGTGCTCATCGGAGGCACAAGCAGCCTGAAATGCCAAAAACAGGTACAAACCTGTTGATTTACAAGGAAATTATTGGTGTCAACTGCTCAACAAGATTCCTTCGAAACAAATTATTCGTACATGTAGAAAGACATTTTGTACATGACGTCTTCCTGGATGTGGTATTTTACTTTACTGATATGCTGCTCACATGAATTATGTAAAGGTCGAAAGAGAACCACACCTTGATTTTCTGAGCCCATTAAGTTTAAGGCAATACCCTGTAGCTCAATATAATGAGGCCCCAAAATAGCTTAATATAACCCTTATTGACTTCAAGATACTGATATATGTACCCACATCCCTCTCTTAAGACATTCAATTGTTCCACAGTTTAGCAGCAATTGTACTGCTGATGTATATAAAAAATAGCATGTATAAAATTAAGTGAAAAGATTTTGGAAATAACTGCTGAGACTTTAGTTTTCCCCAAAGTGCTGGCTGACAGCCAAAACTCTAACAAACTGCTGAAAAACAACTGCAAACACAAACAATAATAATTTTAACATATTAATTAATTGAACTGTTGGTAAACCATGTCGCAGAGATGATAGATGTACTTAACAATAACTAAATAATGGGACAGACATTGACAAAATATTATTTTAACTTTTATGTGTAGCCATTTGGTATTTCTGTTTAATATACCAAATCTCTACTAAATAATGTGTATTTATGACACATAAATCCTGTTTTGACCAATCTATACAATCCTAGGACTGATAAATTTTTATATCCTAAAGTAAAAACTTTCGCTGGAAGCCTTTATTATTAGAGTAATCTAAAATATCCGAAAACATAAGAGGGTATGCACATTTAAATACTTACCACTTATCAAACCAACCACTGATTGTCTCTTAAGAAATCTCTGTATCAGGAATGTGATCTTTGATATGTTTGCATATCCTAACTCTAATTAGGACGGGTGCCACAAAATCATCAATAAATGCTTCAGTTTAAAGAACATATGGATACAGTTTCCTATAGCTAGCTTGTCCATGCAGCCTCTGCATGGGAAGAGTTAAAAATGTGAAAGTCACACCATCTATCAGTCTCACTCCCTTGACTACGCTCCCTGAAACTGCAAATATCCAAAGCAATAAAAAGAAGAATTATGGTTCTTGGAGAAATCGAGAAGATTGAAATTGTGAATCATTCTACAGAAATATTGTGCTTGTAGCAATAAGCAACAATGGGCTAAAAGAAGTTCATAAATAATAGTTGAAAAGTAATGACAAAGACATTAAATGGATGTACTCCTTTCTGAAATGTTGCCTTACATTTATTGTGGTCAGGTAACTGTACAGAATGTCATAACTGTTTACTATAATTAAGAATTAATTTGGCGAAGATAGTCAGACAATCCTGCTTACAGGATAATGTCAGTTTCACAATAAAGTTTAAAAAAAAAAATAAGATGAGATTTTGCTGCCCATTAAATAAAGCGCGAAATCTAAATTACAGTTAGATTAAAAAAACATATGTAGAACTTACAAAGACAAGGGCGAAGTGCTGTGTAAAGTCAGGTTACAAGAAAGCCAAAAGCTAAAGTCTGCACTGCCACTAAAATGGGTGCTATTTCAAAATTTCCCAAAGGACTCAAAGTGTTATGGTACAGAAGATGAAACAATATTAGCTGCCAGCAGGTTTAGGGCTTAACAGCAAAATGAAAATATTACGGTAGTCGATGGTTCAGAGAGCTCAACCTTGAATTAAAAAAATATATTTAAAGGTTAACTTCAATTGTAAACAGATACAAAACACAAAACATCACTTGGGTCCCCCACTGGTCCTGTGGAAGCACTAGAAAGACTCTTTTTGCACCAGATCTGTCTTTGGCCCTCTTTATTTCCTTAACATTCAATAAAGGCTTTGTAAAATACTTGGTATATTGCAAGGTGTGCTTTACAAGATGCATTGTAAGGGTATGCCAGTGACATAACCCTTTTTTTGAAGCCTAGCATGTTTCTTTTTTTCTATGTCACATAAATCTTTTACAATGTGTGGATTCCTGAAGGTAGAAAACACCTTAACCTGTGTCTAAATCTGCATTTCTTAAACTATAATATAAAAGGAGCATGTCTTGTATTACATGGCAGCCATAGCAAATCTCTTTTCCCCTGGAGCTAGTAACAGCAGGGGCGCTAGCTATTTGTAAGTAAGCCATGTTCTGTACTGAAAACAGAAGCGAAGCTGTCAAGCTTTGCTTTACTTTTTCTTTTTATGTTCCTCTACTATTATGCCAGGCATCTTTCTTGGTTATCTGCCAATAAGCCAAACTATTTCCTATGAGAGTGAATCTTCTTTATGTAATGGTATAATTTCAAGGTAATGCTTAATTAGTTGAATTAAAACAGCGAAGAATGTATAAAATGGTAGAAACTTTAAGAGTGTTAATTGTACTTTCAAACATCATTTGACTTATTGGATAAATAGAGTTATGTTAGAATAAATTACTAACACCGACTGACACCATTTTTAATGCAGATATTTTATTTTGCATACCTTGTTATACATTCCCTTTTTTGTATTTAATCTTGTAGACCATTTCATTAATTTGTCTTTACTTGTTGTTGTACCTCTTTTTTTTTAACATAATTGGAAAAAAGAAGACGAAAAACCAAACACAACAATATGTATAATCAAGTAAAATTATTTAAAGCAAAACAGATTCATGCTATATTTTAAATGGGTTAGGAAGAAGTGCAAAATAAATCCTGTACCCCAGGTCCTCCAAATTAAAATCCGTCCTTGTGTCTTTTTGTTGAAGGATGATTTGATAGCCTTTAAACATTATAATTATGCTTACATTATCAGTGTTGTCTTTATACTGAAGAAAAAAATTATTAATTCTGTTTCGCATTGGATCATTTTTTTTTATCCATACTTAAGTGTGTACACAAAGATGCTTACTCACCACAACTTAACATTGTAATCATTATATGACATATACAACGTAAGAAGTCCAACCCTCCTATCTAAATTGCTGTTTCAGTGGAATTTCTTCGAAGCCTTTTTTTACAGGTTGATGTTTAATTTTGTAATTCCCGTACATCTTCCCTGTATTCTGCACTGAGACTTTCTCAAAGTTTCCCTCAGAAAAAAAAAAATACAAAAAGTTTTCCTGGTGGTTCCAACCATAAAAATCTTAATGTCATTGTTTCTTCTGAGATTATAGCCTCTTTCTCTATCAATTGGCAGCAGGTTGTATCTTACTTTATATAATACTGTATTTGTGCATCTTTTTATTTATGTATTTATTTTTATTTATTTTTTATGTTATCTATACCAGGTCAAATAACCATTGGGGAATTTGACTTATTTTTTATAATCATATGGTCATGACAGTCAGCATTGTATACCATTCTTATCTCTCATTTTGGTGGTTTCTATATTGTTCCACCTGCTGTTTTAAATATATTGCTTTTACTTTTACATGGTAGTGGAGATATGGGGCACTAACAGAATAATACAGCAGGTTGGGTGATTTTTGATTTGAAAAGTACCTTCCAAGAACTCTTTCCATTGCTACATTATTTACTCATATGTTTTACACAATATGTATAGTTCTGTGACTCAACATAATACATATTTACCTCAATTTTATTTGCAGTTACTGATAATTTCTTTCTATTTAAAAAATATATATATATGAAACAAGGGGTCAGGATCTCTATTATTTTCAGGTCTGATTAGACACCCTCAGTAATTCCTGTATTTATTGGGTAGTCAGCTCCAAATTCTTTTAAATTCCTATCCCAAGGATACATTTTTTGTGTAATGAGGAAATAAAACATCACTCATTTTGTTTTAAACCACGTACATATAATTTATATACAGAATAAATGGTTAAAGACCCAACTTTGACCGTTGAAGAACCTCTCAGGCTATATCCAAACAATGTAATTTATAGTTACCCATATGCACTGCTGTCCATTTCTTCTATAGTTTTTATCCTGTCAAGAGCCAGTTGTAAAACTACTCTAATATAGAAAACTGTATATGATGTCTCATTGTGTGAAATGCATTTTAAATCCTATTAATGTTTTTTGGTCAATATAGTATATTGTATGAGTTAAAATAATTAATGCAATAACTTTTGATCTCTTGGCTCTGAAACCATACTGCCTCTCTCCTAATATATATTGAGTCTTTCAATAAGTTTGTTATGTGTCAATAAACTGTGTTACCCTTATTTTTGAGAACTAAGAAGAAATGGGAAATTTCTGCTTGATTAAAAAATGTCTCAGTGTAAAATGACAGAGTAGAGTGCAGGGGTCACAAACCTGTTTAAGGCTGAGGGCCACTTCCAGCGTGCCGAGTCATAGGAAGGGCTACCAATCCTAACCAATGAACTGCAAGGGTCAGCGTTCACCTAAACTTTGTAAATTATAAACATATTTTTATTGTTTCTGTATCTAATTTTATTTTAGGATTGACATTTTGAAATGCGCTATAAAAGATTAAAAAACAAGAGCACTGGCGAGTTATTCTATTTTCAGAAGACTCTGAGGGCGCCCCATCTGGTTCTTGAGGGCCCCTTGGTGCTTACGGGTACCACGTTGGGGACCCCTGGTATAGAGGCACCAGAGGTTTGGAAATCTCAGCTATAATCTTATCAATAAAGACCATATTAATATCATTTCAATCTGTGGAAGTCTTTATTTTACATCTTCTGATGATGTCTCCAATTTTTTCTTCTGTAATAAAAAAACATCACTTTTTAAAAAAATTTTATACAGTTCCTCTACCTTCCCTTCTGGTATTTTCTTTATTGTTAAATAATTAAATAATGTGAAATAAAACAAAGCATGGAGAGGAGGCTCTGGTTTTGCTTCTTTTTTTATCCACTTTAATCTGAGAAAATGCATTGCTGCAAAGAAACAGGTACTGCACTCATGGACCTACTATGACCTGGCAATGCCGAAGCATTGATTTCAACCTGCTATTACTGTACTATTGGTGCAGAATCCTTTTGTGTCGACAATGGTATCATGACCAGAAGTAAATATTTATATATATTTGGATCTGCTAGAATTTATAAAAGAATTATTTTCATACCAGATCCGTTTTTTCATTAAATGTTTATACTTATATTCTGCACCACTCTAAATGTCCTGTGGATGCATTTTTTAATGATCATTTTGATGAAAAAGCAGTAGCAATGATTTTTAAAGGATTTCTAAGTCCAGTTATGAGCAGCATACAGATATCTAAAAAGCCAGTACCAGGAAATAACAACATTGGTTTCCTTTTAGGGTGTCTTCGAGACAGAACCACTGTAAGATCTGAGGCTGTCTATCGCTCATGCAAAGAGACAAGCTGCTTGATAATTGTTGGGTTTTTGCTAGACCAGTGTAAATATTTTAGAGTTTGATCTGCAGATGGTTAACATGTAGGTCGGACTCATTTTAAAAAGTGATGTTGTGCTTTAATTTAGCAAAGCAAAATGGTCTCTAACAGAAAAAAAGATATGCTCACATTGGCAATATCTCTCTCCAAGTCCACCACTCGCGTCACTTCTTCTCTTATGCGGGTTTCATTGATTGTTAGTCCCCGGTCAGAGCGGATCAGCTTAGCCAGGTCAATCATGAACTGCTCATAAGCCCGACATGCCTGCAAAATATATTCATTATGTCACAGCTGAAGGGCATGTTTTAATTTTTTTTCAATAATTACATGCCAAATTTCTTACTACAGCATATGCAAATAAAGTGACATATCACTGACAGTTTGTAAAATACCCATACTCCATGTTAAGCATTGTTTTAACAGAATACACTGGTAATGTACTGGTAGAATCAACATAAAAAAAAAAGGTTTTTGTGTGTTTTGCACAGTTAAGTGCAAACCATTTCAACACACCTCTGCATAAGGACCTTCACATGCATAGTAATCACGGGACAAGAGACCAAGACTTGTTTGCTGATCAAACTAAGAAAAAAAAAGAGAGAAAACATGTCAATAAAATATTCAAGCTGCCATGTTAAGATACAGACAGGTACCCACAAGGAAAATGCATTTGTATACCTTTGACTCTACCTGTCTGTTCGTCTGTCTGTCTGAAATGCCTATACTGTACAGTGTTTTGTTTTTGTCCAAAAATAGCAAAACTCACTCAATAAAAAAAAGTGACACAAATCACACTTTTGAATTAAAAACCTGAAATAAATCAACCCTGACTATATTCTTTATTCACTTAGATGTACCGGAGGTAATTTTACGGCCCCAAATTTAATACGTACATGAATGATATATGAAGTGGAGTCTCTGTCGTCTGTGCCAACGAAAAAGTTAACCAAGAGTTGAGTTCCATATTTTTCATTTAACCTGGCAATGACATCCTCTAACCTCCAGGTTTTCCCTGAAGAAATAAGATTGGAGGAAGGAGGATGCAGGAGGGAAGAAATGTCATAAGTGATTTATAGTTTGATGGTATGTAGGGGGAAAAAATGCTGTACCATAGTCATCCTCCCAGTTGTCCACAGCAATGGGCCACTCAGAGACATCTGGCAGCATTTCGAGCAAAGGAGTTCCCCCTCTCTGCTCAATTAAACCTTCAATACAGTATAGTTTAACAACCAAAGAGAAAGCAAGAATTAGTTTGCTGGCAAATTTCAAATGAACTGTAAAAATATATCAGAACATGCTTATTTAATAGTTACCGAGTTAAAGACTATTTCCTTCTAAATTAAATTACATCTTAAGATAATCTTTTATTTCTCTCTTAGTAATGAATATGCTAAATAATAATTTTAGAATACAACAAACTAAAGTAGACAGACAACCTTCAACAGCAGCATAAAAAGACTGTATAAAATCAAAACGGAATGGTCTGTTAACGTCTCGTGTCTGCTGACTCACTCTCATTTGTGCAGGACTTGTAAAGTGTCTTAGCCTTGGTGAGAGCAGCAGCCTCCCCCTCCACCGTCTTTTCAAGGACACCTGCAAATAAACACAACACAGGCACATGTAAAGAAACAAAAAATCCCAACAAAGGCTGGCATCAGTGCAACTAGACTAAGAGAGAGGGGAAAAAACATACACCCACAAGAAGGATGCAGAAGATTTTTTTAATGGGTGAGAGTTTAAATAAAGTAATGGTTCTTACATTACTGATTTGTCCCTGTGTCACTAAGAGCCCTGAGAAGTAATTTAGTCTCTGCATAACCCTGGCAACAGATTGCAGTCATTGACAAGCTGAAACACATGATTCCTGTACCTAAAAGGAAGTGGAAAAACAACTTCAAAGTTGAACTTCTCGATCCCGTTTTGTTTTTTAAATTTCCATATGCCTTTGGCAGCTGAACAAAAAGAAAACTTAACTGTTGTTTGCAGATGCAAGCTCCTTTGAAGATTCAAACCCACTATTTTTTAAACAGTCTTTTTTTCTCCAAAAAAAATGCTTTAATTCTCACCTTCCAGTAACAAAAATCAGGACTCCGCTTTGAATATGACAGTAGTTTCTGCCTGGAAGACTCTAAAACCTTATAAAATGCTATGGTTTTGGTGGAGAAGAAACTTTCACACATACTGAACCTATTTCTGTCACCAGAAAAGCCCCTTCAGAGTGACTGCTGGGACTGCATCCAGGTAACTTAGCTCAGGTTTTTTGCTTCCTTTCATCAGCCAATTCCCTTCACAAACCTGGTCTGCTACTGCTAATCCCCCAAGCATTCTGAATCTGTTTTTATCTCTGAATCCAAAAGGGTGAAATAAGCTACCAACTGCTCGCAGAGAAGGATCGGCTTTCTGCCTTCAGAATGCTATCAAAGGCCTCTACTGAATTAATGTTTGTGTGAGATTTAATACTGATGTCAGCGTTGACATGTCATTCAACTAAAAAGAAAATGCACCATGTACCATGCACTGAAAAAGTACATATAGATCTTATATATTTTCATTATGTTACTTTAACTTGTTTAAAATTAGTCTTGTGAAAGATTTTTTCTATTTTGTAAATTTCATCATGTAATTGCGGAAAGAAATAGTGATACTGGCTTCAAAAGTCGGCTCACATAATCAGCAGCACATATCTGAGAATGGATTTTTATGTACAAAGGAACGAGAGCGAGCTCCCCTCCACCTCCAGTAAAACCTTTTTTTTGCTGAAAACTGGTAAACTGTTTATATAAACCTACTGTACATTAACTAGAAATGTTAAAAGCTGTTTGTGAAAACATTAATTTTATATGCTGGTACTTTTTACCACAAATCTAAAGAAAGTTAGGATTCACTTGCAGCTGCTCCATACAGCAGAAATCCCTGAGAGCTTAGCAGGCTTCAGAGAGCTGTGACTCACAGCACTGTCGCCACCGGTATGCAGGGGGTCTAATGAATCCTGCCTGAGAAGACAACATATCGAGGTGGACTTTCTCACTCAAAAACTTGTTCAAATATTTAATTTTTTTTCCATCTCGTCAAAGCAAATAAATCCAAGAAACTCTCTTGATTGCACAAACAGAAAAGAACAGCTCAACAACCTGAGCATCAAGCGCCAAAGTATCTCGACCAGCGTTTGATCCAGTGTGAGTGACTTGATTGCCCAGAATGTGTTTGGTCTGAACATGCAATACAGTGGCTGTAGAAAAAAGGGTAGCTTCAAAACAGAAAGCACTCAGCGTGGCTGTACTTTTTAGACGGTAGAAACAACAATGCGTTTTATTTTAACTTTAGAAATATGAGCTACTCTGAGTCTGTACTTATTAGTCACATACATTTCAAATAAAAGACACTGTTGGAGGTAATGTGATAAAATAAATTAAAAAGATCAAATGGCATGAACCATTTGACAAGTCCCTTTAAATTAGTAAATCTGTGCTGGACTTGACTGATGCACATGGTACAAAGTGGAGTCTGCTTCAAATGTACTGTGGCTAAGGGTTGCAAACACACTGAAAATACATAAATGCAAAAAAAAAACTGTTCAACTAAAACCAAAACAAAAATAAGGATTGTAATCTCAAGAATTAGACCAGCAAAAACTCTGCACACAAACAGGCAAAACACAAGCAAAGGAAAATGTAGCAATCATCGATAAAGGAGAGCAACAAAGTTAAAAAAGATGCAAACACAAAATCCACTCAAATACATAAATGAGGCAAGCATGAGAAAACATATGCAAAGGAAAAAGGCAGCAGGTATATATATAAAAAAAAAATTCACATGGGACTAGACTATTATTTTATTATTCCCAATCAATGTATATGGCCCAGATCCACTGCAAAAATATAAATAAGATGCCTGACAAAAGACATGTAGAGGAAAGAAAGAAAATAATTTTCCTTTGAATCATTTTTAAACACTTAACACCTCATAAAATCCTGTTTATGTCTTAACTAAGAGTTTGAGTGTTAGCTATTTCTTTTTAACCCATCTAATATTTGTGTTAGCTTGTTACATTGTTGTGGTTGTAGTACATTTTGCACTCACTGTATACTCATGCATTTGCAACTGGGTTGCAGATCTTGGCCACAGTACAATTAAATAACAGTACTAATTTACTAGTGCAAATTCTCAGTCATCCAGGTCATAGGAACAAAAAAAACAAGGTCATAAAAAAACAAATCATTTAACAGTGGAGAGTTTAGGTGAAACAAGAGTCACAGCTCCACAGGCGTGACAGTCAAAGGCCATTTGAAAACAAGTGCAAGCACCAGTTGTTGATTTTAGTGCCTTGCTTTATTGCTTCCTGAGCACCTGTTGTGGGCATGAAGATGCCAGTTGGATCTGTCTCAGGCTTGTATTTCTAGCAGACAACAAAAATGAAACTAGCTCAGTTGAAGGCAAAGACCAATAGACTTTGCCCATGTTTAGTTACATAGTCGGTCTTTCTCAGAATAACCTTTCCCTATAAGGAGTTGCGATCTCTTAAGCCAAAAAAAAATCAAATTAGTTGTACATAATCATTTTCTCAACCAATTCCATATTTAAATAATTTTAAACTGGAATATACAGAAACCAAAACTTGCCATTTTCTAAGAAAACAGAGCAGTTAAACAAACTGTATTAAGAAACTGTATTCATTTTATATTAAAGACGAAAATCTGTTTTTTGTAAATATAATATATTCAGAACTCGTCAGGTGGCATTGCTTTATCTTCACCTGGCTCAGATTCTGTAAAAAGATCATTTTACTTGTTGCTAATGAATAATGAACTGATCAATCAAAAGATTTGTGGGAATCTTAGAATAATTTCATTGATTTGCAAAATAATATTTTGCCTCTCTAAAGTAAAATAATTGATGATCATGAATAAATTACAGGTTTACATTATTTAAGAGGATATTTTCAGCTTCTTTGTTATATCATAAATTTCAGCAGCACACCACAGTATACAGTATGTTTAATCTCCAACTCATAAGGTTTTAATGTCACCAGTACAGTTAAAGGCTATCTGAACTTTGAGATTTAGAAATCATGCTCCAAAAGGAAGAATCAATCCACAAGTTTTAAATACAATCACCAAACAAAAGTGGTTAAAGCTACAGTGTGTAATTTTCAGCGACATCTAACGTCCAGACTGCAGACCACAGCAACATGAACATCTCCCCCCCACCGCTTCTCCCCCCCAACAGTACGGCAAGCGTTACGGGACAAAATGTCTTCCACGACGTCCGCATCACCTACCTTCTCAAGTGATGAGGTTTGTTTACATAGATAATTTTACAGATAGTATTTCATTAGTCTGTGTAGGGTATAGATTTCATGTAGACTTAAGATAATAAATATACCCGTAATGGGCAATCTCGCAATCGCTAGTTTGTTGGCTCTGCGCTGCCGTAGCGTAAAGATGTCTGCCTCCATGACTGCGAGACCTGCTCCTATGTAATTATAAATAACGAATTCTAAGGCAACGCAAATATTAAGGTTAAGAGGCTGAGCTCGTAGATGGTGATAAATAACATAGTTATGTATAATATATTACATTTCTGACTGTATATCCCTGTAATTATTACACACTGTAGCTTTAATACTAGGCATAGTCAGTGTTTAAAAATGGCTGTAGAGAGTCTTTATTAAGCCAATTAAAACCATGAATACTTCTTATATGAGGTGCATTTTAGTTAGTCAGGTTCATAGTCCCTGACAATACAGCTCTGTCTGCTGTCTAATATTCCCAGATACTCCTCTAAAAAGTCTTTGGCTTATATTTCGCATAGCTAATATCTAAGACTCATATTCTGCAATTGTCAGATTACATTACTGCCCAATAACCTTACAAACATTACAAAAAAAACTTCAATTAGTACTTTAGAACATCAACAAATATGGAAAAAAATCTTTTATAAATGGCCAAAATGTAGCAAAACAAAACTTTTTTTTTGTTTTTAGTCCAGGAAATCTGTCTTTTCAATGCAGTCAATGTAATTTAAGCCTTCACATCACAAAGATGTTTGAAGTAAAAAAAACTGCAAGCTTTCCTCAGAATCTTCCACTCAAGATTGGGGAGAATGAGTTGCACAGAAGGCAGCTGAAACTCTGGTCAAATTTCAAGATAATTAGCTTAATCTCCCAAACAGGAGAACAACCCTATGCCTGCTTTTACTGTACTCAAATATGTTACAAACCACTTTATCAAATTGTATTAAAACAGAGTACATATGCTATCCCACACTTGAAAAAAGCAGGCAGACATAAGAAACTATCTGAAATTATTTAAATCAAGGGACATCTAAGCTTTAGCTTCAAGACATTACAGAAGCCTTGCAACCCTCACAAACCCAGACGCGTCAAGTAACAAAGAACAAATACTTTGTTACGTTACTTAGGAATAAATTTTGCCTATCTACACTTTACTGGAGTAATTATTTTTTCAACAACTTTTGACTTCTACTCCTTACATTGTTTTTGCAATTATCTCTACTTTCTACTACTTACATTTTAAAAATAGACTCATTAGTTATGTCTCATCTCAGCTGATTTTCCTTATGGCTTGTTGGTA